CCCCAAAACCCCAAAACCCCAAAACCCCTCTTTAGGTAAATTATATTGAGTATTTATCAATATGGAGAAGATATCTGAAACTGAGAGGAATTTAGAGGGCGTGAGAGCCCCAAACCTCAAGAAAGCTCTGAAAGCAAATACGCAAAGAAGATTTTGAAAATAATCAGTCCATATTCCTGAAATCTGTCAGTCTATGCGCTGAACGCGTACTCTGAATTGGATGAGACTACGGAAATGCCGAACGGCAATTCTTTTTATATAATTTATCAAGCATAAGAAAAGGAATCCAACTGATGTTTATAGGCATGGACTGCTCTAAGTACAAAGAAGTTTTATCAAAAATGATTGAAAAAGCAAGAGATCTGTTTCAATTTGACCCTTTGGATAATATGGACCAGAAGAATGCTCAAAACAGAGTTAAATCGAGGATTGCAAGCGTAAGATATTCAGAAACTTCTCTTGTTATCGTATTATCTGATGCTTCAGGCTGGAAGTCTATATGCCAATTTTTGTCCTGTAAGGGTATGCCATCTGAAGAAAATTTGTACTTACATTTTCTTTGAAGGCGGATTGTATTAGTTCTTACAGTAGTCAAGCTATTTTGTATTTCTCACATAAATGAGAGGTTAAATCCTTGACAAATTTGACTGTAAAGTCAATTAGATATTAATATTGTTTCGAATGTGAATACAAATTTAGTCAGATAGATTCGGGATATATCTTCCCGTTCAATGTTGAGCAAGAACTTAAAAACTTGTTATCTTCGTGCATATGATCACTTAAAATCTTTACCAAAGACTTCCTTTTTAAGAGGAGCTTTCATAAATTAAATCCATAGGGATGTGATAGCTACGAGATAGTCTCAACCGGTACTGAATTAGCTGGCCAAGTGAGAGAAGGGCTTTGTAGTTTTATCGATTCTGATTTCCCACCACAAGACTCGAGTATTTCCCCATCTGCAAGTAGTAAGTCAACATTTGTCTAAGCTAATGTTTTACAGGACAGCCAAAGGGAATAGTCTGGCTTAGAGCTCATGAATTTATGGAAGAAACTCCTAATTTATTCAAGGATGAAATCAAGTTCGAGGATGTAAAAATGGGCTGTTTAGCGATTTGCTACTTCCTCTCTTCAGTTGGGCAGCTTACAAATAACCCTGACTTTATAAAAAATGAACTTTTTGTGACTCAAGAGTACAACAATGAAGGAATTTACATTCTAAGGTTCTTTTGGGACGGAGAGCACAAAAAAGTTATTGTCGATAACTATTTCCCATGCAGATTCAGTGAGAAAAATAAATTTGAGCCAATTTATGCTCAGAATAACAGCAGTGAACTCTGGGTCATGCTTCTTGAAAAAGCTTTTGCTAAGCTAAATGGCTATTATGATGCGCTTAATGAAGGTTACTTAAGTCATCATTTGACTGACTTAACGGGTGCACCTGTTGAGCAAATAAAGATCAAATAAGGACTTTGAAGATACCAAAGCTGCTGAGCAATACTATTCTGGTCTCTTGGAAAGTTTGAATCAAAAGAGGGCCAAAAGATATCTGATATTCTCTTCAACTCCTTCAAGAGATGACAATGTAGGATTTTTAAGGCTTGTGAGAAGTATTTGTTTACTGGATTTTTAGCATCAATCCACAACACCTTTAGGATTTGGGATAGCACTTAACTTAGACTTTTAACCCCTATGATTTTGGCGTCATAAATCCCGGCCTTTGGGCGGGAAATTTTGGAGTTTCCTATTCCTTGAACCCAGGATGCTGGTCTTAGCCAGTCTCTTTTGTGTAAAAGAATTGGGAATTCTTAAATGAGCTTGGAGCGAACAGAGTAGAGCAGGATGCGGATGCATGGATTTTATGTCTCAGGCATAGTTAAAGCTGATTAATTTGGGATAAATAATTAGTCAAGATGTGGCCAGACTTTTCTCTAGGTTCTTATTCTATCTAGTCTGAGCATTTCCTCAATGTAATGTTTATAAATTGTTTAGTTGTGCTTATTTAAGATTACTCCCTCATCAGCGTTGATTTTGCTATTATGGCTAAGTGTGACTTACCTGCGTTTTTGGTTTAGGATTTCAGGAAGGTTTTAGACGTGTTTGTTTTATAAATTTTTGATATCCTTACCAATAAAAGTCTTTGCATGGACATAGGAATAGTATTATAAGAACTGTAGAGACATTCTATGGAGCAAGATCTTTATTTCGGATAATGTGAAAAAGACCTGGGCTATTTTAAAGCCTTATATTCTCTTCGGAATCTTAATTGTTTGTTATTTGTCATAACAGAAGCAATTGGCTTTTGGATTCTCCCATTAACAAATTTTGAGAAAATATATCCAACTAAGTAACATGATATGTTTTTAAACTAAAGAATGAGTGCTTTAAGAAGACAGTGTTTAATGGATAACTTTAAGCTTTAGTCTAACCACAATTTTAATATAGGAGTTCCTTGAAGTAATAGTTCAGTCGAGGCATGCATTCGCCATTTCTCTCACTCCAGATGGGTTTGGTAAGTACTCTCTCAGATCAAATGTTGGCAAATTGTCTGACATTATCGGTTCAAAGTAATTGTGTATGACCCAAGCGGAATCGGAGCTACTTCAGCATTATCAGAGTCAAGGTATTCTGTAACTAAAACTGTATAGTCTTTACAGAGAGAAGGTATGCACTTAGCTCGTACATATTCTAAGCTAGCATTAGGACATCTCAATCTCGCTCTGATTTTAGTTGGCAAACAAAATTTAGTTTACAGCCAATTAAGCTTTCTTTTAGAAGAACAAATATGCCCTTGACCCTGATGAAGAGACAAAGATGGCTAGCAGAGAAGCTATAGAGCAAGGATTTAAAATCCAGTTTTGGTGAGGAAAGCTGAACAAAGGCCAAAACTGATGTTTCTGCTGTGAATTTAATCACATAGTGATTTGCAGAATTGGCACACATTCTGTCACGAGAAGGTTTAAATCCTAGTTCATAAAATCGAGAAGAATTCTTCCTAATAAGACCTCAAAAGATAGAGGGATTCATGATATCTGGACATATGCTAGAGATTACTATGCTTTGGACATTCCAAGGGACAAGACCAAGGTTTGAATTGGGCTTCATCAGAAGGATACCAAGTGTTTCAGTGATGATAAAAGCTATCATAACTTTGAGACTGATCTGCAGCTAATTATCCTCAAAGTAGCAAGAAGAACATTTGGATCGACGTTGAATTTAAGAAAGGGTAATTCATACTTTTAGACAATAAGCAAGCTAGTATTCCCCATAGTTTAAATGGACTAGAGAACTAAGAGTATTAACTCCATATAGACATTATTTGATCGTACCGAGGACTACTGCATGCAGGCTTGAAATCCCAAAAGACTCATTGAATGCATGCAGGAAGTATGAAAAGATAGAGGATAAGTATTGCCTGACCCAACAGGGCAAAAGAAGTGTCGATGAGATTTTTACGAGATATGATTTAAACAGTGATGGCTTACTGAACTTAAGTAAGTTTGGGACAACCAAACATTGAGGATCTGTTCTAACTTTGGCTTCTTGAGGGTTTTAGACCCGAATTTCAGGAGTGTCCAATACATTTTCAGCACATAATTGGTGACTATAGAGGAAATCAATGCTCTTGGGAAGCGTATCGGAAATAAAGAGCTGGCAGAGCTTCCGAAAGAAGTGTTTGAAGACCCAAATCTGCTGCATAATACAAGTATGGTTATTCAGGTTAAGATATGGTTCATGATTTTTTCTTGGGATAAACAAATTCTTAGCTTCTATATTATCCAAGTACTGGTTTGAAAGTACTCCAAAACTATGAAACTTGGGAGTTAGTCTAACTGAAGTTTAGAAGTTCCAAAAGACATCAGAGAGATTAATTATTTTCCCACAGATTTGACTGGTGAGGCCTTCCAAGAAGGAGGCATTACGAGGAAAGGTATGTGTTTCATGATTTATATGAAATGTCAGTATAAACACCGTGAGAGCTCTGGTATTAGTTCAGCTGATTATTGAGCCGAAAAATCATGCGTTTTGTCTGGAGATTATATGAATTTAGTGACTCATCCGGTCAAGCTTAGTTTTGCACATTCAGTAGCTAACTTCATGCTTAGGACTGAGACAGCTGGTCACGAACATCCTTAATAAAAACAAGGAAGAAAATTATGGAGATGAGTAAGGTCTATATTCTATGCAACTTTCTGGATTGCTGATATTTTGGCACTGGTAAGAGGGGATTAATTCGAACAAAATAGCCAAAATGTTTGTTTGAATTTGTTATTTTTAGCATCTAATTCCCATTCATCGAGCTCAAGTAAGGATGAATATTTTTTGAGAATTTATTTAGCAGGCAATTGCTATTTCGCTTGAAAGTTCTCAATATCTATAGGAACTTCAAGAAATTCTTCCTAAATAATGGATATAATTGTAACTTGAATTCGACATCATTCAGGACATTTGTGGTCTCCTTCACAAGTGAGAAAAGTTTGAAGATTGGAGAAAAGGATGGGCTTAATAAACCCCTAAAGACTCTTTTGTATATGAAGGAAAGGGTAAATTCCAGTCAAGAAATATTTTAGGTCCTCCAGTTTGAGCAATATCCCTCTGTTAATCATCTGGCTTGGGGTAAGATGATGGAGAAGTATTATAATGATGGAGAGTTTATGAATACTCATAAAAAATAGGGAAAATGAAGACTATGAAGTTTTTTGAGTTAGGCATAAATACTCTCAATCTGTCTCATATGAGGTCAGGAATAAGCATCATTTTAATCCTAATGAAGCCCCAACTATCACTGATATAGTCCTGAAGATGATATTTACAGCCAATAAGAGAGAAAGGTAGATACATTTCGAATTCATTTTAGCTGCGGTTTTAGCTTTGGCTTGGATAATTTATCGTACAACTTTTGCCTCAGTCTGGTTATGATGAAATGACTGACAGCTGGTCGCTTGACCTATTTACCCGGGTCTAAATGAGTAGTTGATCCTTAGCTTATCTCCTTTCAAAATTAATAAGTTCTTTCTCTAAACTCTCCTGCCTTGACATATCCTGTGGATTAATGGAGCCTAACCTGGTGATTATAGGGATGCGAAACCTCTGACACTATCTCACCCAGAAAGATACGTAATATATGCTGGAGCAGGCACATTTATGTACCTTGGTGCCTGAATGTCAATGCCTGACAAACCCGGCTTGGTCCTTAAGCATGGAAACAAATACGGAATGTTCAAGAGAGAATATGACCTACTAAAAGCAGAGCCCGAATAAAGTTTTTGTCAAGGTTTAGAAGAATTTGTGGCTTTGGGATTTTGGGTCCACTCGTATTAGCCACTTTTGGCTTTCAATAAGGGCAAATTTGAGAGGTTTAGAAAGCTCTGGAATAAAGAGCTGGAGGGGCTAAAGCATTGCAAATTTAGAATTTTGCTTAGAAGGTAGGCAGGAAAAAGTTGGGGTAATTTCTGACAGTTTTTGCATTTTAGTAGAAAATAGGCCAGATTTTTGAAGTCGATTTCAAGGTATTTTGGGATGCTAGAGATCTATAAAATTTAATACTACTTTTTGATTAGCATATTAATTTTCGCTTGTCCAAGACCAACCCAAATTTCTATAATCTAAAGAGATTATGATTTCAAAGCCGAGCATTTTTTTGCTTAAACTAGTTATTTTTATTTGATTTCAATCTCTTAATGTTTAAAGGGGTTTTGGGGTTTTGGGGTTTTGGGG